TTTCGAAAAGCTTTTGTCGTTTTGGTGTTGAGGAAGCATGTCCTGAACCTGACTAGATCCAGCCATTATGTTTCGTGTGCTCCGTATCAAGTATATAGCAGTTCATGGATTCAAAGTGGTCTCATAGATCTCATTTGGGTACTTTTTTGAGGTTCCTTTGTCGTGGCTCCTTTCTCACAGGCATCAGAGTATGCTTCTGGATGTGTCAAAGAGATTACGAGTTTGATTGGTCCCCAGGAGAGAATACCTTGTGCAAGAATTTAATCCGAACTTTGCTTGGAGCAAATCTCTTCAGAGGAGGGGTGCCTTGATACATCTTGATACAATAGAGCAGTTCCCATGACGCAGTAGTTTCCATTTTCATTGCCAGGATATGCCAGGATACAAGGGCCTAGGTTTCAAGGCTAAGGTGGGGTTTGATTGCATTTAGATGTAGACTTAGGGGTACTTGGAAATAGTTTTTATTGTTTGCTTATTATAATCCTAAGGAATAGCAAAAATACTAATTTTTACTAGGGTTCCAAGTTCACCATAGTAGAGGATCCAGGACAGAATGGAAAGTTTGCGCCGTGTAAAGCTCGTCGCAGTGCTCCCCAACAGCTGAGACGTTCGACAAGAGCACGTCAGGAGTAAGGCTTCCTGATACTCATGTTGCAGGAGTTACAGTTTGATTCTTTACGTGCATGTGCTGCAAGATGGGGATTGTCAAAATTATGGTCCCCTTTTGGGTTCCCTAAATTGGGCCCGTATTAGGCCCCGTATTATAATAGGGACCCAAAAAGGGACCATAATTTTGACAATCCCCCCATGTATATTCCCAGGCCCAGCAGTATCTTTTAGCATACGGCACCGAAGTTTATGAGTACAGCCCCAAATGGTAATTTCCCAAAATAGGGGGACCCAATCTAGACACCAAAATACTAAAGTCCTTATGATTGGGACCCCCAAACTGGTACCCCTAATTTTGGGAACCCCCCAAATGATAAGCTTGCCGAAGCAAAGTGTCTGAGCCCAGTCAGCTATCTGGGTGGTTGTCAAAAACATGGTCCCTTTTTGGGTCCCTATTATATTATTATAGTACGGCACCTAATATTTAGGGTACCCAAAAAGGGACCATAATTTTGACAACCACCCATCTGCATGCACAAGGCAGGTGGCCTTTCGCTCATGCGCTCGCTGGGGGCTTAGCTTTTCTACAAAAGCAAGGCTGCTCATCGCAAAATCGAAGAATTTTGGTTGGTGCCGCTGGCTTCATTTCAGCATCCCATCCCCTAGGTCTGGGCACACTGTACGGTTGTCATGGACCCAGGGAAGATTCAGCTTAGTAGAGAAGCGTGTACCACGCGCGGACGGCCTGCTTGAAAAGCAGGAGGAATCTGATAGTACAGTAGTCAGGAATCGTAATTCCATCAGACTGCAGACCGGAGCCCAAATCCATTTCAGGAGGACTCAGTGGCGTCGTGGACGAGGTGGGCTTGGTTCAAAATGGCTCCTTCTCACAAGTACCGTCGCCAGTGGTAGTTTCTCGTTGACATCGTTACCTTCTGCAGCCACCCTTGCTGCTTGAAGACGTTGCCGCTGTGGCCACTAGTCGTGCAGGTAGCAGGAGTAGCAGCCGTAGTTGCCCTCCTATTAGTTACAAGAACAACAACAGCAACAGCTCGCGCTACTTGTTCTGCTTCTCCTGCTCCTACTCCCACTCCCGCTGCTACTCCTGCTCCTATTCTTGCTACTGCGTGCTACTCCTCCTCCTCCTCCTCCTATTCTTGCTACGGATACCTTTGATGCGAGCAATTTGGCATCGTAGGTTGAACCGTGCGCGCAAGGCTGCAAGAGCTGTTTGTCGAGCTGCGCAATCGCACAACCTTTGTTGCACATATTAGCACCGCACGCTTCCTAATTTGCTGAAGCAAAGTCCTCCAGAAGCAGTGCGCAAGGACATTTTTATCACACGACCTTTTGCCTGCTAGGACGACAGAAGTTGGAGCAAAGGTGTAGTGAAGCACCTTGTCAGCTCCTGGTAATTGAGATGGCCATGTTTCAGCGCACATGTCCGCGAAGTGTGGGGCTTTGGGCCTTGATGGGACGCCGAAGCTTGCGGACGCTTCCTGGCGTTTTTTTTGTGCCCAACCTTGCGGTTGAGGCTTTGGGTTTAATAGGGCTTTCTATTGAGGGATGATGAAAAATACAATGGAAACTACTATATCACAATCGGGTTATATAGGGCTTAGGGTTTAGGGTTGGCTTTGAGATTTCAGGAATTTGCCTGCTTTGGTGGAAGTTGCTCAGGTTTCCCCAGATCAACCCGAAGACCTCCGAGACATTCAAAGTCTACGAAGAGATGAGCTATGCTGGGCAAACAGCCAGTTTTTGATGTCAGTCACTTCTTTAGGGTCTAGGAATTTGGGTTTAGGGTTGAGGGATTAGGGTTTAGGGTTTGGGATGGTTGAGGGCTTAGGGTCTTGATGCAAAGAACGAAATGCGTGGATTAAGGAGTGGCGCAGAATTGCAGCAAATCCTTTCCAGCGCCAGTGCTGCCCAGCAGGTGAGGGATGACATTTCTTTAAGGAGAGAGAGTTTTAGAGTTTAGGGTTTAGGATTCAGGGTTTAGGGGTTCAGGGGTTTAGGGTTTGAGATGGTCTGGGGTTTAGGGTTTAGTGTGGAGGGTTTTAGGTTTGAGGGGATCAGGTGGTGGTGAGTGAGTTCATGAAAAAAGCGGGGAGGTAAGGGCTCCAAGTGGCCTTGTGGTATGGGCCATAATCCAAGCTCCTGTAGAGGGTTCTATAGAGGGGACTATATGGGGTTTCTAGGTTCCTATTATAGGGCTTACTAAGGGGGATACTAGGAGTTTAGACTATAGCTCCTATGGGGGTTTCCCCAAATTTGAGGAGGTTCCTTTTCCGGGGTCCCTATGTTAGGGGTACCTTTAAAGGTGGATATAGGAGCTATGTAGAGATGTATAGGATTTACGGTTTAGGGGTTAGCGTTTCCAGAATCTAGGGGCTCATTTTATCAGAGGTCCCTACTGTATGGGTCATAGTATTTAAGGGTCTATATTGGGTCCCCTGTTTTCGGAAAATACCATATCGGGGTTTTCAAAAAATATGGGTCCCGTTTTTGGGGCCCCCTGTATGTAGAAACATTCCTATATCTCATATTGTGGCCCCCATTGATGGAAGCTATCATATCTCTGCAATGTTCGGCAATTCTTTTGCGTGTGGTTTTTCATGTCCTTATGTCCTGACAGAAATGCGCCTTGCCCGATGTTAGGCCCGCGTCCCGTAACAGTGTGCCATTACAAGGTCACTACTCATCACAGTGACCTTCTTTGGTGGAGCCGGGCACAAGCCCCTAACATCCCAACGCGTAACCAAATTACACTATATACCCTTACATACCCCGTATGTCCCTTTAAAACCAAGTTTATATATTCTTATGTACCACTATATAACCCTAAACCCTAAATCCTAAACCCTAAGCCCGAAATCCTAAACCCTAAGCCCTAAACCCTAAACCACAGGCCTTGGACATCCCCAAGTCTAGCAAAGTAGTCCCGGGCGCAGCCAGGCCTGGCGCAGGCGCCCGGCTGCAGAGCGTGTGGCTGCCCCTGGGTTTCTGTTTCAGAGCTGTATGGCTATATGAGGACGTATGGGGATTTGTAAGGTCTAATATAAGGGATTTTGCAGGGTTCGCAGGGGAATTAGGTCGGGTTTCTATAGGGATTCAGTAAAATTCAGGGATATGCCCCAATCAAGGAGAATCAGCTGCAAAATGAATGCTAACCGTAGTGGTCTCTAGGGTTCCATACACGGAGCAGTACAAGTTATGATCAGGTAGTTTCTTGTTTGTAACTTATGATGAGTAGCATTCAGAACGCTACTACTGTTTCGTAATGTGCACACCTAGTTCGGGTTCAAGTTTTCTTGCCTTCATGGCTTAGTGTTCCGGGATGAGGATGAAGGGTGGTCTATGGAGTTGTTTAGACCGGGTGTTGATTTGGGAAGCATACACAGAATATGTAGGATTTGAAACAGGGACCTTGGTAGTCTGTCTTGACAGTAGGGTTTAGGCTTAAGGGGTTCCTGCAGAGCCGAGGGTACCTTTTTTAATCAAGGGTTCCTGGATTGTACAACCCCTAGAAGGTTTCCCCAATATAGCCCGGGATTCCCTTTAAAGTATCCCAAAACTAAGGGGTACAATCCTAGGGGTACAAGCCTGAAACCCTGGATTTAAGGGTTACGTCGGATGTCGCATGTCAGTGATATCCAGGGAGACCTAGAAATATCCACATGGAAGAATTCAGCCAGACGGCATCCTTATCAGTCATCAAGAATCCCACACCCCATGACTCTAATAAGAAAAGCAACAACAGTAATAATGGCGATCAACACCAGTGATAATAGGAAACAGACTAGCAATTACGTAGAAGTAAAATAACAACAAGAGCAAGCAACAATGACCACAGCAGCAACAGAACCAACAATTAAGTAATCACACCACTAAACCCTAAAGGCTTTTGCGCCGCTGGCGGAGGCGCTCCGAAGCAGCGCCGACGAGGCGTTGATCAGCTTCAATTGGTCTTGTAGTGGAGCCTTATTTATATCTTTGGTTGGGCCTGACTCAGTGCATTTAGGAACCCCGAGATAGCTGCAGTCATCCCATGTGGAATAGTGAGCGGGGTCCCAGCCTAGTTCATACCAAGGTATTCTAATCCTCACGTTGCTAGTATCCAAAGCGGTTGCGTTCGTTTGCAGGGTTGTTTCTTGCAGACTGCTTGTTTCCTTCTTCCTTTTTCTACTGCTGCCACTCCTCCCGCACCACCAGTAGGATTCTTTAGGTGGACCCCCCACCCAGGAATAGCTAGATACTGGCGATCATAGTCGGGTCCTCTTATATTCTTATTATTAGACGACCACCACAGGGTTCAGGGGTCACCCTCCCCCCCTAAACCCTAAACCCTAAGCCCTAAACCCTAAACCCCCACAACCAGTAGGGATCCTATGAAGCAGGTAGCTGAGCTGGTCTGCCAAGAGATGGGGAAGCCCTTGGCTCAGGGAAAGGCCGAGGTGATGAAGTGCGCATACTTGGCGACTTGCCGAACTTCAGAAGATGTTTAAGGGGCTTTAGGGTTTAGGGGATGTATAGGGGATTTAGGGGATATGTAGGGGGATTGAGGATGGTTGCTCTTATAGTATCAGTGAGCTTAAGCCCTAAACCCTACGTAAACCCTCAAATTTCTGTGGATAACGATGGATCATTCGGAAACAAGTCCTCCAGTTCTTGCGACATGAGAACGCGATGTGGGTGGAACTTACACTTTTTGGTTATGCACACGATAGTATTAACAATGCTAATGTAAACCCGTGAAAATAAACACCCTCCTTTTAAGGGCCTTCATATTAGGATCCGTACTATATTCCCTCTTAAGGGGAGGGGATTTATTAATCACGGGTCTACATTACTACTAATATGAGTAGTTTTTAATTTTCTTTACGATGCCTCGCCATGTCGAGAAGCAGTCAGGGCTTCTTGGCGGCTATACTCTTTTCAACTTGCGGGCCATAGTTCTTCGGGTGTATGAAAGGGGCCACCTGACCTATGGAAACACCCAATTTGGTGTGATTTGCAAATGCAGTTTTCGTCCAAGAGTTTCTTGCGTTGAACATGACACCTCACGACGGCTCCTTGTATACACGATTCGAACTCACAGGAGTGATTTAGTGAAGTAAGAGAAGGTGCACAACAAGATGCTTGCAGCAATGCAGCATCGACCCCCAACAGGATGCTATTCAGAAGCCATGTTGCTGTTGGTAGCACAGTAACTTCTTCAAAAGACTGATGCACACCCAGCTGGGGACCCGCACGCACGTATGCATCAAGTCGGTAAACCTGCAAACTTCATCGATAACCCTGAATCATGTCTACAATCCTATCTTCCTAGTTTTGAAACATCCCAACTGGCCTCTTCCGAGGTTGACTGGTACGTAGAACATGGTGCAACGTTTCTGGCAGATACGGAGTATCCGGCGCTTCCGGGCTTCAAGAAGTCCTATGTGACGTACCAGCCTCTGGGAGACATGGCTCACATTAGGGTTACGGCTTTAGGGTTTTAGGGTTTGGGAGGGTTTAGGGTTTTAGGGTTTTGCAGGGTCATGGGGACTTAGTAGCTAGGTTAAGAACCCTTCTCTTGCATGTTGTAGCCCTAGTTATCCCTGTTATTAACCTACTTACTAAGTCCCCCTATCCTTCCAAGTATGGATCAAAGGTTACCTCTAACCCGAAGGCAAAAAAATTGGAGGCGCAGGATGGTCAGGACTAGTCTGGGTTGCTGTTAAGGAACTTAACTTCAGTTACTATAGTGGGGAAACCCCATTATGTGCTATATAACCCATATTATGGTAATATGATTTAAGTTCCTGAACAGTAACCCAGTAGTTAACACTTCTGTGTGTGCTTCTTGTCTCAGGTACAGTCCTTGCTGTCATGCCATGGAACTTCCCCATCTGGCAAGTCGTCCGCATGGGTATACCTACTCTCATGGCTGGGAAGCTGAGTTGGTGTTAAGTATGATGCCCATATTTCTGTAACCCGAAACCCTAAACCTTATGTATACCCATATGAGCCATAATCTCAACTCCTTAGGGGGGGTTATATACGGGATTATACAGGGGACTACTATAGGGGTTATGAAGGGGGATACTAGGAGTTCAGACTATGGCTCATACTATCGTAACCCTAAACCCTAAGGCCTGATAATTACAGCCTAGGAATTCTGTGCTGCTGAAACATGCGCCAAACTGCTTTGGTAGCGGCCTGGCCTGCGAAGAGCTGCTTAGCAAACTGGACATTCCAGATGGCCTCTTCCGGTCCTTGGTCATTGATGTGCCGCAGGTGCTGGGGTTATATTAGGGTTATATTGGAGTTACATTAGGATTATATTGGGGTTATATTGGGGTTGATGTGCCGCAGGTGGGTGGTTGTGGCAAAGGGTATATGTATATGAGCCCGATACCTTTTGGGT